ACTATGAAAGCTTTCGGTGGAATTTTGGAGTTCTAACCTCGAAAACTAATTGCTTTTTGAAAAAGCTTTAATTGACATACTCATAAACATAGTTGAGCATATAAAAAGATAAATGAGTGATAATAAAATCTTTTCAATGTGTTGAAGTGAGTTTGTAGAACATATGACATTTGAGGAAATAAGCATGAGTTAGAGGAATGTTAATAGGTGCCAGGGAATGATTGACAATAGCAGGATGTTTTTAGACATAAGTTTCTTCGTTTGTCACTAACGATGGGGCCGTAGGAGCGAGTAGTGCGCCTGTTGCCTATTCCAAATCTAATGAGACACACACTCAAGAAGCACGACGAGCACGTCAAAGTGCTTGAGAGAGAGCTACACATTCTAACGAAACAAACGATGTTAACGTTTGTGGAGAATGCCAGCATAGCTTGGAGCTGCCAAGCTGCGCAATCTTCTCCTGCAAGCACTGTATTTTTTTTTGTTAATAGAGAAGAAACAATAGACAAAGAACAACTGCAAAATTGACGGAAACTTCCAGGCAGTTCGAAAATTGCTAGTACGTAGCCTTATTCTTGCAAAATACAAGGTGTCCCAAAATTACGTAAGTATACGTTTTTTAACAATCAATAACTCTCTTCCCACTAAGTCTTTTCCTTAAGTTCAGGTACAGTATAGAAAGCTTCAACTTAGATTGGCAGTATGAAGAAAATCATCCATCGTCGTATTGTAGGATTACGGTAGGAACTTGCAGCATAGAATGTCATTGTGAAACAAAAAATCTGAAAAGTCGTGTGGCAGTGTTTTAGACATGCTGACTTCGTCATGGCGCAAGGAGATCGAGTTTGCCTCTCGCTAGTCTAAGGTGGGTTCAAATTCCCTCTCGGGTCAAAGCTTTGCAATCGTTCCAGCTCACTACTGCATGGATTTCCATGCTCACCCTCCATCAGTAACCTTCTTGCAGAGTGGGATGCGCCATGGGGGGTTCTCTTAGCCCTCCTGCCCCAGGAAACGGAGGTGGGGGGGGGGGGGCATCATAGTTATAAAAAACGGCGGTTTGAAGGATAGATGAGTGATGCTACGTGCCTCCTATCAGAGCGTAGTATACAAAAAAGGATTACAATAAGTGCATATTTTTTTGCGGTTTCAGATTTCCCTCATATTTTATACCACTGAAAATGCTTTTTCTGTTTTGGTCCCATATAGGTGAAGAGGGAGTGAGTGAGGAATTTTGATCAACTGTTTCTTATATTTCTTACGGAAAATCAGCGAAGTATTCCACCGAAATTGAAATCGCAAAAACCAATAAAAACAAGTAATTTGAAGAGAAAATCGAGAGAGATTATGAACTTAGGAAGTGGCCATCTTCTAGGCCCTACACTACTGAATTTTTTAGTTAAAGTTACTCCCGGTGCAGGCTAAAACCGATCAACTCATGGGCTATTCCCATGAGGATTCTATTATTCAAAAAGAGGAAGGTCTGTGGAATCGCGCGCTACTATGAGGCCGCACTCGCTGCTACCACTATAGATTTCGTCACCCTCCACCCTCTTTGATGATCGATACCATATCAGATAATGACTAAGCCTCGAACATGCTCAAAAACACCTTATAATACACACGTTTATCCTTATAGCACCAAAATAAGATCAACACTCAATGATCCGCGGAAAACAAATAATAACAAAACGATAAGAACAAAGAGATCCAAGCCAGAAGACGAGGTGGCTCCGTTGTCGTACTATCCTCACTGTCTCGAAGTTGCTCCCTCACTGTCTGGCGGCGTCTGGCGAGCATCGGCATCGGGCAGTCAGTAAAAAATTATATGGGAATGGAAATGATACACCAATAGTGTGGTAGGAAAGTAATAAGTGTAGGATTACATACCGGATATATACAGATAATATCTTACAATTAAGTACCGCCTCCGCGGACTATTGGTCCCAACACGATGTTTAAAGGTAGGACGAAAGGACAGCAGCCAGCAGAAGCGGCGCCTAATTGAGGTGTTCGTACCTCTACCCCGACGAAATTGCATGAGTTATGTCCCCTACTTGTAGTATGGTAAACAAATCTTCTTATTTCTAACCTTACACAACTAGGGACACATCGTTCATGTAGACTCCAAATAGTTGTGCAACATCCTGAGCTATTCTTTACAAGTCCTTCAATGCCTTGCTGGTAGTTGAAGCTTTACATCTGCATCCTTAGACGTTTCTCGGCAATTTTCAACGTCACGCATAGCTTTCTTGGGATGCTGATGAGTTGCGGCGTTCAATACCCTAGTTGGTTGCTGTCTTTTGCCGTAGATTACTCTGTTGTCTTCGTACATACCGCAGTCACCGACACTTCTCGAACTTCGGGCTGGCCCGCTATTGCTATAGGGGCAGGGGGGGGGGGGGAGAATTAAGAATTGTCATAGACAACAACTTTGTGGGGACATTAAGCTGAGACCCACAAGAGGACAGAAGGGGGGGGGGGGGCTACGTAAGCAGCTAATTACTCAGACAATCGCCGGGGGCAGGCGGGCACCGGAAAAATAGATTGCTGATTTCTCGCACCCCTCTCGCGGATTTTTGCAAAGCAGTTAGGACTTTTCGGAAGACCGCTTGCTGAGTCAGCGGATTTTTGAGAGACCTGTTAAATTTTTTCGCTCTTATCTTTTGCAGATATCTCCTCCATGACGAAGGCGGTCGCCCAAATAGGTTGAGAGCATGCAAGGCCGAAGCGCACGCGGCGCGCGGGCAATCGTCAACCACGGGTCGCGCGCACGCTCGCGTGGATGATCGCTGACCGAGAGTGCGCGCGCCCTGTGGTTGACAATTGCTCGCGCGCCGCAGCCTTTCATGCTTTCAGCCTATTTAGGCGACCGCCTTCGTCTTGGAGCAGATATTATATTGCTGAATCTCTGAGGAATCGAGAACTCAGCAAGCGGCCTTCCGAAAAGTCCTCATTGCTTTCCAAAAAATCTGCGAGCAGGGTGTGAGAGTTCAGCAATCTGTTTTTTCGGTGCCCGCCTGTCCCCGGCGATTGTCTGAGTACGTGGGGAGGATTGACCAAAAAATCCATATAATTAACTCTTCTATCAATTTTCTGCACTGGCTGAAGCGCTGGAAGTTGTTGGAGCGGGGTTGAGTGACCATGCTGATTACGAAGAAAGAGAGGTAAGGGTAGGTGTACAGGTGGTGACCGGGCAGCCGCTTGCTGCCGCAGCCAGCGGCCGGAGCTGCCTGCAAAGTCGCTGCAGATGGCACACTAATTACCTTCGTCATCTGAAACTCTTACCGAAAGATTTTCTCAACTCGTCGTGCTGAAATGCGATATCAGCATCATTAATAGTCTGACCTCTATATCTATAGTTTTATCATTACAAAAAGCAGAAATTTCGTATCTCGCTAAGATTCATGCAATCGAACAAAAAGTACACAAGCGAAATATTTCCAAAAATTTACAAACAATTACAGAAATGATGAACAGGAAATCAAATAGCCCTTTTTACAAATTTTGACTTTAATATACATTTCTCATATTACCTGGAAAAGTGATGATTTTCCACGTGAGCTTGAGAGTGAAATTGTTCTTGTTGGAAACTGCATGAGTTATAGTGAGAAATGGTTTTTTAAAAACCTGCGCTGTTCTCGTTTATATCAATATATGTAGAACTAGCTGGCTTACCCGGCTCCGCCGTATGTTCCAAATAGAAAATTCCATTTCTTAACCGATCCGGACCAAACTTGACACACATACACTTCGGGCCCCGGCGGGTGTCATAGGCTACTTTTCGTCATCGATCGATATCGTTTTCATCGATTTTTTGCAAAATTTGAGCTACGGGGCTGGGAGTTGTAATCGAGCATGCTGATCATCCCCGTGCTCGATTACACCTCTCTGCCAAATTCCAGGGCCCAAAGTGTATGTGTGCCAAGTTTGGTCCTGATCGGTTCAGAAATAAAATTTTCTATTCGGAACATACGTACACACATACATACATACATACATACAGACAGACAGACAAATAAACAGACATTCAGCTTCATATATAAGATATTTCTACCCTTTATCAGTGATCTACGCAATACGACCTAATTTGAATCTCGCTTAACATTAACACTCATAAAATACTAGTTTTGACAAAGTTTTCTTTCTGTAAAACATTTTTCTGATCGTTCTCGTCCTTTCTTCGACGAGCTAGAAGAAATAATTTTTGCAAAAACTAATATTTCGTGTATTTTTCTGCTTCTGGTTGTTTTGGGTATTAAAAGTGTATTGGTTTTGTGGCCATTTTTCAAAGCAAAACTCTATTCTATACAGCTTCCTGAATTGGCATGGCTCCAAGAAATTAAATTTTTTCCGCTGTTCGAAATGATACAGATATCGCGAATATCACGCTGTCCCTAAGGCTATCGCTTTCAAAGCAGCGAGATGCGAAAAAACCCTGGTACTGCCCGGGTGCCATTTGTTACGCGCCCGAGGTAGGTAACTGGATAAGGAATGGATGAGATAGGGGACAGGGTAATGCTGCTTTTACAACATCAACCGAGTCGGCTATGTCAGTAAATTTTAGATATGGTTATTTTAAATATCCGGATAAAACATTTGAGTAGTCAAATATTTGGGTACTCATCCGAACACCTAGCCACTGAATGATTCATTCGAATATCTATCCAATATATGACCGGTTTGAATATAATTGATATTCGTTTGTTCAAATGAAACTTTTGATTACAAGTTTTCGGCACTCGTTTGCCCGAAATCTCAAATTTCGAGTTTCGACGTTCGCTCATTTGTTGAAAATTTTTTTGAATTTCTTGAGATACATATGCTACTTTTCGGTGAAATCCTCGTTCATAAAATCATCGATTTTCGGCACTTCGAGAGGAATAAATTCGTGTCAACTCGCTCTCTTGTCTCCGCGTAAAGGATAACAGTGAAGCTCTTTTCGCGGTAAGGACTTTGCGGTAGTCCAGTGCAAGTAAGGGGGTAGTTTACGTTAGGAGGGCATGGACGAGCAAAAGCAAGCAATAGTAAGTTTCTTCTTCGCCATTCTAACCAGCACTTCTCTCCCATCAATCATGGATAAAAACCCGGGCAAGGCTGAAATAAAAATGCTTTTTGCAACTTAACTCGTTTTTGGTATTGAGAGTGCGTGCAGCCTGAATCGCTCATAACGCGAATTGCTTGCATGGTGAACTCCACTCCTCTCCGGTACCTGGTATCAAATCGCTGTAAAAGAATAGGCATAGCGGCCGAAATTGCAACTTGTTTTCGCTATAAAAAAAGCTGCCATAATTTCATCCTGCCTGGTTGAAATGCCGGTAACCCTTTAACAAAAACTCGCCGTTTCTTGATGATTTATTGATATCAAACGAATTCATACAAACGGGTATAAATATGACCATGTTATGCAGTTCTATCTATTCCTTCCTTTGATCACTTTGCTTGCGCTCTTGTCTCAAATCTAACACCAGTGCGTCACCTCTGCTTCGCAGAAGCTCGCATTGCCTATATTATGGTAGGGTGCCAGATTTACCCGATTTAACCGATTCACGTTCACCCCATTCGTTATTGGTCAGTTCAGTGATTCTACCAATAGCGAGTGGGTGAACCGCATGAATCGGTTGAACCTGATAAGTCTGGCATCTATTTATATATGCACTTACTGCTCGGACACAACATCTTTTTTGATGAAATATCCGCACCATCAAAAATATGTGTAGAAACCATGAACGGCTTCTTGTTTCAACTCTCAATGTTTGAACAAACAAAGGTAGTATGGTGTCCACTGTATCGTATTACGGCAAGCATATTTGGTACTCGCAATCTTAGCGCATTGAGAGCCTTGCTCCTCATGCATAATGAGACAGCAATAGAACTTAACGAGTAATGTCTATGGCGCGGCGATGGAATCGAGCATACATCACCCGATTTCATCGCCGCGCGCTTTTCTCGAAATGACAACTGTTACGATCGTTGCTTGCTGATCAGCTTGCATTTTGGTGTGATAGTTATTCGCGATTAGTCGGGTCGAAAACTATCACCACCAGGTTACAAGGTAATTGATGTGCAATGGACTAGTAACTGTTTTCTTGCTGGAGGAATCGCGAAGCGATGAAATCGCGTAATGTATGCCCGACGCTTATCATGTGCAGTAAGACAAAAAAGCATTCATTCCGCATGCTCTACCACGTAAGCTCGGAATTTTAGACTAAAATAAAGTCAGTGAGGAGGCGAATACATTTTTAGGATAATTATTGGACTTTTTAATTTGAAGTGGTCATAAGGAGAGCGAATAATGCGAAATGCGCCTCTGAGCATCTTCTTAGTTTTTCGGTAATCTCATTGTTAGGTTACGGCGTGATAATGCGCATGCGTGACTCTTGTGATATTCCACATCAAATGAAGCTTGTTTTTGTTCCTCCTATATTGACTCCAATCCATTATTTTAATTGATTTGTAGGATCCAAAATGCGATTCGTCAACGCATTCTTCGTTATGGTGCTACTGTGCTTATTCTCGATGGGACATGGTTTTAGCAAGGTATGTAGCGCATGGAAAAGTTTTATGCACGATTCCAATTATAATATTTCAGGGTTGCCTTAGATACTGCGAACCTATACGAAGAGGCAAGACTGATTGTCTACATTGGTGCACAAAAGCAGAAGAGCAGAGAGATAGAGGAAACTGAGACAGAAGCAGAAACCGATGAATAGAAAGTCAGTATTTGTGCGCGTAAAGATGATTGCGACAATGATGATAAGATGCGCATAAAGTATTGAAACGAAATACCGTGCACAGTGTCACAAATTATGAGAAACTCAATCTAAGTAATCTTTCGCATCAGAAACACGAATGTAGAAATAATCCACAGTTCACAAATATACAGTCGCAAAGTAAAAATGCAAATCCAAGCACATACATTAACAAAATCACGATGTCTGATGCCGTTGTAAACATCTAGCATTACTCAAGCGCCATTTCTTGTCTCCTCACAAACAGCAGCTCTCTTGGTATAGCTTATATACTTAGCTATATACTTACTATATGCACTTCTGCTTTCTAAGCGAGGCTGCAATCTAATTCTTGGCTTGGAAGCCTTTCCCCAGCTTAGCAGAAACTTAATGCGATGCCATCATTCAAAATCAACGTGGACGAGAAACTCATAACCAAAAATAATTCCAAGCATCAAATGTTTTAGAGTAAAAAAAAGCTGTAGTTATGTAAAGGCTATTGCATGACGAAGGCGCAAAAGCAATTTTAGTTGAGCGGGTGCGGACGCGATGTGCGAATATCTTTGTCGTTGTAAATCTTGCGCCTCATGCGTTCTGTGGGGTCTTCAAATGTGTTTTGAAGTACCTTATTAGCCAATCATGCTTCGACGAATTCTACTCTGCAGACAGGCAACAGATAAGAAGGAGAAGCTGTGGTGGCATAAAAAATTACAGCAAAATAATACATCAAATTTGCCACATGTCCAATTTGCTTGCAGAAAGCTAAACTTGGTGCCAGTATCTCGAGACCGATACGTTGAATTTTTGATGGCACTAATTAAGAAAGGCCAATCCAATTGATAGAACAGGGTGATGCTATCGGATTTTTTTCAGAAAAAAAGTTTTCATGAATTTGGATTTATTAGTGTTAAAGTGAAGATTTTAAAGATTTGATTGCTCGGGGCCTTTTCTTGCAGCAGAAGCGAATAAGTTATAGAGACTTACTAAGCTTAAGTACTGGCAACCATCCATACGTATAGTTTCATCTGAGGAGGTTTCGGTACACTTTGGAAAGATAAAACAAATTCACTGAGATCCCGTACCTGCAGCTTTTCTGGTTTTCTTCAAGTTTGAGTATAGTACAGCATTCAAAGTTGTTTCAAGCTAGTCGCGGCAGTGTTCAGAGGCACCGCCTCAGACAGAGTGGCGACTCGCACAGACTAGCAGGAGACTCGCCTTTCCTTTTTAGTTTTGTTTTTGGTAAAAACGTAGCCTTTTGACGACTTTGATTTAGCGGAAAGTTGCAAGGCTGGCTTCCAGGATCTTATGAACTATTTTTCTGTGTGGGGAAATCGCTGAAGTTGAATGATGCAAAGAAAACTCAAAAAGTTAAGGCTTTTTGTTTCTTACTTATCGGACTAAGGCCCGTATGCACGTACATCCCCGCTGGGGAGGGGAGGGGATCTGAGAGGGGATGCGCCATATCTCGTTACTTTACGTATCTTTCTTCTTCCATTTCTATCTTGCTTATGAAGGTTCTCATACCCTACTACCTGCGCATTATTGATGCCAGGTTACTGGCATGACTGATTAGATTTGTACTATTTTGTGTGATCCCCTGGGGATCCCCAGGGGATCCCCAGGGGATCAGACAAAATAGTACAAATCTAACCAGTTATGCCAGTAACCTGGCATCAATTATGCGCAGGTAGTAGGGTATGAGAACCTTCATAAGCAAGATAGAAAAGGAAGAAGAAAGATATGTAAAGTAACGAGATATGGCGCATCCCCTCTCAGATCCCCTCCCCTCCCCAGCGGGGATGTACGTGCATACGGGCCTAAGTGAGAGCCTATACTTGATAGAGGGGTGGGGGGGGGGCTTGTTACTTGTGGGTGGCAACAGAGATTGTTGCATATTACATCACCTGATGTGTCACGAGGTTTCTTCTCAAAATTGACCAAATAGTTTATATGACAGCGCTCGCAACTTTCTTAACCATTGAGAAAGTGCACGCTCCAAAATGCGAGGTTTCCGCAGGAAATTGACGTCAGAGCGATCATAAACCGAAACTTCCGCAGCACTTTCCATCAAGCGCTGCGAAAATGTAAGGCTCGTAAGGTTTCCGCAGCACTTTGACCTGCCAGCATTTCCGCATGATTTTGAGAGCACATGCGCTTATGTTTAGCAATCAACAGTGCATAGCTCATTGCTCTTTTCTCCACTATTTCGCTCCTGTTTCTCTTCTTTTCCTTCTCTTTTTTCTTTGTTTCTTTAATGTTGGCGTAAGTAAACCTATATCCAAATTCCAAGTATTCTTGCAGACTTTGGTGCAGGTATTATTAGGTTGTCCCATAAGTCTTTTCATTTTTGAATTTTCGCTATGATAAGTCACACACTTCTTACTCTAAATTGACATCAGGATACCATTCGATAGAGCAAAGCAAGCTCTATAAGATGGCGTTTACGATTTCGCAGAAGCTTTAGTGTATCTCGAGTTTTAAATCAAAATCTAGAAAGTTTCGGATGGCCAAAAAACCGAAAAATTTTTATATCTTCCTTCAAAAAAATCCTACAAACCTCAAACTTGCTCACGTATATACATTTCACATCAGACATTCATATGTGCTGTTGCTGCATTTTTTTATCACTTACAAATCAAGAAACCGAAAATTTTCATGTTTTTACCAAAGTGATGCTGTGCTGTTCTTACACAAGCAGTTGTATAGTAGAAGCCCCCAGAAGTACTGCAGTAGATTTTTGGCTCTCTATATGCTCTAGTTCACGAGAAATATCAAATTTAGCTTTCTTCACTTGGGTTTTTCACGCTTAAATCAACATTTCTCGGAAACCAGAGCTTATATAGAGCTAAAAAATTATAGTTGTACTTCTAAGGGCTTGTAGTATACAATTGTCAGTGTAAGAACAGCACAGCATCACTTTGGTAAAAACAGGAAAATTTTCGGTTTCTTGATTTCTAGCCGATAAAAAAATGCAGCAACAGCAAATATGAATATCTTATGTGGAATGTATACACGTGAGCGAGTTTGAGGTTTGTAGGATTTTTTTGAATGAAGATATAAGAATTTTTCGGTTTTCTGGCCATTCGAAACTTTTTAGATTTTGATTTAAAACTCGAGATACACTAAAGCTTCTGCGAAATCGTAAACGCCATCTTATAGAGCTTGCTTTGCTCTATCGAATGGTATCCTGATGTCAATTTAGAGTAAGAAGTGTGTGACTTATCATAGCGAAAATTCAAAAATGAAAAGACTTATGGGACAACCTAATATATATGAACAATCATCACCAAGCTGCCGGAGTGCTGGAAAAGGACTCAACGAAGCGTCTTCATTCAAGCACAACCTCTTGTTCAGATATATCTAACTTTTCTGCATTTTTGCCTTGATTACTATGATACTCAAACATGAAAATACTATTTTATTGGGTTGTTACATAAGTCTTGTTACACTTTAATTTCTTACGACGATAAATCGTGAACTTCATAATTTTGATGGGGCTCCGGGGTTCCATTCGATAGAGCAAAACAAGCTCTACAGGATAGTACACAAACAGCTCTGATCCACCGTAAGTTGGCATATGTGAGTTGCATTGAAGGCTCAAAAAATTAGGAAAAATCCATATTTTCGTTCAAAAAAATCCTCCGCATCTCCAACTTGTTCACGCAAATTACGTACCACAACAGACACTCATATACATCGTTGCTGTATTTTTTCCTCATCTAAAAATTGAGAAAACGAAAATCTTCGCGCTTTTGCAAAAAACGGAGCTTTGCTGTTCTATTCATGTAGTTGTATATTACAGGTCCTTGCAAGTGTAACCGTAAATTTTCAGCTTTCCAAAAGCTCTAGTTTTCGAAAAAATACCGAACTTAGCTTTTTTCATTCGAGCGTTCAATGCTAAATCAGGTGATTTTTAAAAAGCAGAGATTTTGGAGAGCTGAACACTTACGGTTATAATTCCAAGGGCTTGTGGTAAACGGCTACATGAATAAAAACAGCATAGCTCTGTTTTTGTAAAAACAAGAAAATTTTCGTTTTCTCGATTTCTAGATGAGGAAAAAATACAGCAACGGCACATATGAGTGTCTGATATAGTGTGCAATTTCAATGCGTAAGTTGGAAATTTGTAGGAATTTCTTGAACAAAGATATGAATTTTTTGTGATTTTTTGAGCCTTCGGTATGACTCAGATTTTGGATGCAGACTTACCGTGGGTCGAAGTTGGTGCGAACTTTTGCATACCATTCTGTAGAGCTTGCTTTGCTCTATCGAATTGTGTCCTGGAGCCTTGTAAAGAGTATGAGGTGTATGACTTATCGCCATAAAAATTTAAAGTGTAATAAGACTTATGTAACAACCTTGTACTTTGTAGAAAATATTAGGTTGAACCAAAAGTTCGTTCGCACCATTTTTAAAAAATCGTGACTTCTTTCTCCTACAATAATCCTGGATAACAAAAACAATATTAGAAAAAGCAAAGGGGTGCTTTCACTTCAATTTCAGAATTCTGAGGCGAGCTCATTGAAAATTCCAAAACTCCAAAACAGGCCAAACTTTCGGTTCAACTGGTTGGATGTTTCAACAAAGCAGAAACTAATCTGGTAAAAATATATCAAAACAAAGAGGGAGGGGATAGTGGGCCACAAATTTTTTAAAATGTGATCTACATCTCTTAGGCCCGTATGCACGTACGTCCCCGCTGGGGAGGGGAGGGGAGCTGGATCCCCAGGGGGACGATCCCCTCCGCTGAACCCCGCCATGACAGAAGGGAGGAGAGCGAACCCCTCCCCTGCACTGAAGCGGGGATGGTGTGAATGGTTTCAGAGGTATTGATCGAGCGAACCCCAGTGCATACGGGGTTCGAATGGGGGAGGGGATCCCTTCCCTTCCCCCACTCGAACCCCGTATGCGCGAATTCAATCCAATAACGCGGGGGAGGGGATCGACTTCCCCTGCAACGAAGTAGGGGTTCGATGGCGTAGATCATGCCGGAGACGCGGATATTCTGGTTCTGCTCAGTCATTACCAAGCATTTCGTTCATTTTGATGGAGGAT